AAGTAAAAGAAAAGGGGGGTGGGTGGGGGGGGGGGGGGGGGGAACTGTCCAAATATAATATATTTTATGGTATATTATCATATATAATAATATATAAAATAATTATACTTATTGTATATTCCCAGCAAATATTCCAACTGTATAAAATGTTATTTAATTTAAAAAAATAATAATTTGATATATTCTGACAACACTTGTCAAACACAAAATGATTCATTAGAAAAAATACTTTCAAAAATATGATAATAATAATAATAATAATATCACGCATAGTGCTATATAAAAATAGTCTATTATAAATAAGACATTTTACTATATATTTAAATGATATTTTATCTAATTTTCCAGTTTCTTAAAATAATAAGAAATATGCGTTTTATTTGTATGCGTAAATATTTGACATACTTCAAATCTGCCTTTGTGGTTCGCAACCCGCCATACAACTAAAAGAAGAAGAAGAAGAAGAAGAAGAAGAAGAAGAAGAAGAAGAAGAAGAAGAAGAAGAAGAAGAAGAAGAAGAAGAAGAAGAAGAAGAAGAAGAAGAAGAAGAAGAAGAAGAAGAAGAAGAAGAAGAAGAAGCTGCCTTTGTACCTTTTATTATTATTTTTTTTTTTTTTGATTGAATCACTCAAATTCAACACTTTACAGTAGCCAGGGGGTGAATACAAAGAAAAAGAGATACAAAATTACAATGATATAAAGATAAAAGAAAAAATCTATAAAAGCTGCCTTTTATACCGTTTTCCCCTTTACCACTCCGTATTACGTCATCAACATGAGCCACGAGGCTTGACATTCAGACGCATGCTGAATGTTTTCATGAGTTTTTGACCTTTACGTAAACTTTTACCTTTACAGTGAACCCGGTAAGTGTATTATTTACACTTTTCATTTACATACACACAGAAATGCCTGTTGTTGTGTTATGGCAACTATATAATCTGTCCTCAGTGAGTAAAGCAGATTTGTGGAAACCGGTTAGCTTAGCTAGCAGCTGATTATTTAATTGAGCTTCGGCTTGCGAACCTGCAAGTTCATCTAACGTGAACATTTCATACGCTTTAGGCGACTGCAAAACATAAACGGCATGTCCACGCGTCAAGCATCGGTCCATGCGAAATGGATCATCGGTCAGGTGATCGGAACCAAGATGAAGAAGACGGCAAAGGTTCGAGTTACCAGACTTGTGCTTGATCCGTACCTGCTCAAGGTAAGATATGTTGATTTTTTTCTTCTTAGATTGTCTTTCTTTTTGTTTTTCTTACATTGCCATAAAAATATTTGTAGCTTTAAAGGGGTCATATGATGCCATTTCAAGTTTTCCTTTCTCTTTGGAGTGTTACAAGCTCTTGGTGCATAAAGAAGATCTGTAAAGTTGCAAAGACTAAAGTCTCAAATCCAAAGAGATATTCTTTATAAAAGTTAAGAGTCAGCCACGCCTACCTAAAACGTCTCGTTGTAACACGCCCCCACATGTCTACGTCCCGATGTGGGAAGATTTGCATAACACCGCCCAAATGTTCACGCAAAGAAAGGAGTAACTTTTATTCTCGCTGTAGTATTGTTGTTGCCGCCGCCATGTCGTGAAGACGCTGTGTGCTTCGTTGTGAAAGCGGAACTACTTTGTTTGGCCTTCTAAATGAGGACGATATCTGCTTCATCATGCCTAGAGTTGATCCGTGCTGGTCGCTGAGACTGTGTTTTGTTGTGAAAGCAAAACTACTTTGTTTGGCTTTCCAAAAATGGACACGACTTTCAGAAAGGTGGGGCATAGAAGAGAAACAATAATGTACAGTATGTGGAAAATAATGTTTTTTTAACCTTAAACCACATAAACACATTTAATTACACCAAATACACAAAATAATGTTCTTTTTAGCAGCATCATATGACTCCTTTAAGCATTAGGGTCATTTATGTCGGTAAACTAATGACGCATTATTTGTAAAATAGTTGATTTGTAGACAGAATTAACCTGATCCTGTATTTATATGTTTTTTTTTTAAATAAGTATTACAACAAGAGGAAGACATACTTTGCCCACGATCCTTTGGAGCAGTGCACTATTGGGGATGTTGTTTTGCTGAAGGCTTTGCCGGAGAAAAGATCCAAACATGTCAACCATGAACTCGCAGAGATTGTGTATAAAGTTGGGCAGGTGGTCGACCCGCTCACTGGGAAGAGGGTTGCTGGGACGCAGTATTTGGAGCCTCTTACAGAAAGCACAGAAGACACAGAAGTATCTTTAACGGAAAAACTGGAGCAACTGAACATTACTGCCTCCACAGCTCCTTCAGCCTCATAGTATTGTGTTTGTCTTTGATGTTTGTACATAACTCATGTCCTGATCTTCACATAAAATATAATCACAGTGCCTAGTATTTGTGTGGTCATTAATCTTACATAAAAATGCTTCTACCTGCTGTCCATTTTGACACAGTTTAGAAACCATATATCATTTTATAGTACAGGTCTGTACTATACTATTATTATTACTATAGGTTTAAATGGCCATTACTATATAAACTTTCCACTAGTAATTTTTAGACATTTTCATTGATAAGTTCAACGTGTCTGTGCCCTCTAGTGGAGGAAAAAGACTAGTAATCTATTCTTCACAGGATTTTTTTGTCATTGATAATGGGTCAGACCATGTTGTACGGCAGGGGTGCCCAAACTCGGTCCTGGAGGGCCGGTGTCCTGCAGAGTTTGGCTCCAACCCTAATCAAACACACCTGAACCAGCTAATCATATATCTTATAGGCATACTAGAAACTTACCAGCAGGTGTGTTGAGGCAAGTTGGAGCTAAACTCTGCAGGACACCGGCCCTCCAGGACCGAGTTTGGTCACCCCTTGTTGTAAGGTATTCAAATAAACTTATCTATAGCTAACAGTATTATAGATTATATCTTAAATATTTTCAGAAAGTCCCAAGTACACATTTGTTTTATAGCAAATTTACATACATAGCATGTTACCTATCATACTTTATAGTGTATGTATTGCATTTTCCAAAAAAGTTAAGTTCTATAATCCAGAAGACTTGTAACAATTGTTTATTTAAAAGATAATTGAACATGAATACTGATATGACTTGCATAATTATTTGAAAACAATGCAAGTCTTAAATGAATAGAAATCCTCTTTTTAACACCTTACATTATAAATGTAGACATAAAATATATTTATTTAAATTACTGTATTCATTCAGACACTGTCAGTTATAGGAAGAGTTCTGACACAGTCTATTCAAAAATATAATAAGATAGGAAAAAGGCCCACAATCAATGAATGTGCAAAAAGCTGTGCACACCATGTATGTCATGTGCTTCCCGTATCTACTTGAATGTAAGTCACACATTATTTTACTTTCATCGTATGTTGCATGTTGGTTTTTTTATATTAAAATCTTAGTTGGCGCAGTAAAGTGTTTCCGAGTGGTTATCACTGTGCCGACTCCACCGTCCTCTGAATATGAGACACTTCCAGCACTGGCATGAGGAGCTGGAACGCGTCCTGGATATATGATGCACTGTTTGATGCCTTAAAAATGAAAAAGATGTTATTACTTCTGTGCAGACATCAACGTAGAAGTCTTAGATCTGTAAATGTCTTTTTTTATTTGCATTTATTTGAATGTGCAAAAGAAAAAACAAAATAAAGACAAACCTCCAGAAAAATGCTGGTAATAAGTGGATTGAGAACTTCTCCCTTTTCATTTGCCTGAAATAAACATTTTGACTTGATGGCATACAAAACACATTTTATAATGACTATAAACCTATTAAAGCTCTCTAAACGATACTATAAGAAGTGAAGCGTCTTACCCCTATGGTAGTCAAACACGATGTGAACTTTTTGGATAGTAGTGATACCTCCTTGCAAATAACAATAGTAACTCTGAAAGTGAAACAGATTATGGTTTTGATTTCTCCAAATCCAAATTTTGCACACTTTTTGCAACAACAACAAAAAACCTCACTGTGATAGGACTTTGGCTTGTTCTGTGGTCGTCACCCCCTCAGGGTTACAGTGGAGCAGCATTTCAGCTGTTTTGTGGAACTGCTCTATGGATCTGGCTGTGAACTCGGCCAGGCTTGTAATGGCAGACAAATGGGCCTCCTATGAAAATGAAAACTCAATTGTCAGAACGAACACAAATATACATTATTCTAAGATAAATGTATGCATATCTCAAAAGTACGGAAGCCCGTTTCCGCCACTGAAAACAATAAAAAAAAAAAGCTTATTGCTTTTTATCTCCCAATTCTTACTTTTTTTTTTTCTCAGAATTGCGAGATATAAACTTGCAATTACAAAATATAAAGTGCAATTCTTACTTTTTTTCTCGCAATTGTGACTTTTTATCTCCCAATTCTGACTTTTTCTCAGAATTGCGAGATATAAACTTGCAACTGCAAAATATAAAGTGCAATTCGTACTTTTTTTCTCACAAATCGTACTTTTTTCTCGCAATTCTGACTTTTTTTCTCGTTATTGCGAGTTTATATCTCGCAATTCTGACTTTTTCTCGCAATTGCAAGTTTTTTTCTCGCAATTCTGACTTTTTCTCGCAATTCTGACTTTTTTTCTCGTTATTGCGAGTTTATATCTCGCAATTCTGACTTTTTCTCGCAATTGCAAGTTTTTTTCTCGCAATTCTGACTTTTTCTCGCAATTCTGACTTTTTTTCTCACAATTGACTTTTTTTCTCGTAATTGCGAGTTTATCTCACAATTCTGACTTTTTTCTCGTAATTGCGAGTTTATATCTCACAATTCTGACTTTTTTTCTCGCAATTGCGAGTTTATATCTCACAATTCTGACTTTTTTTCTTGTAATTGCGAGTTTATATCTCACAATTCTGACTTTTTTTCTCGCAATTGCGAGTTTATATCTCACAATTCTGACTTTTTTTTCTCGCAATTGTGACTTTATATCTCGCAATTCTGATTTTTTTTCTCGCAATTCTGACTTTTTTTCTCGTAATTGCGAGTTTATATCTCGCAATTCTGACTTTTTTTCTCGTAATTGCGAGTTTATATCTCGCAATTCTGACTTTTTCTCGCAATTCTGACTTTTTCTCACAATTCTGACCTTTTTTCTCACAATTCTGACTTTTTTTCTCGCAACTCTGACTTTTTTTCTCACAATTGCGAGTTTATATCTCACAATTCTGACTTTTTTTCTCGCAACTCTGACTTTTTTTCTCACAATTGCGAGTTTATATCTCACAATTCTGACTTTTTTTCTCGCAATTGTGTTTATATCTCACAAATCTGACTTTTTTTCCTCTTAATTACGAGTTTATATCTAACAATTTTGACTTTTTTTCTCGCAATTCTGACTTTTTTTCTCGTAATTGCAAGTTTATATCTCACAATTCTGACTTTTTTTCTCCCAATTCTGACTTTTTTTCTCGCAATTGCGAGTTTGTCTCACAATTCTGACTTTTTTTCCCGTAATTGTGAGTTTTTTATCTAGCAATTCTGACGTTTTCTCGCAATTCTGATTTTTCTCTCGCAATTCTGACTTTTTTTCTCATAATTGCGAGTTTATCTCACAATTCTGACTTTTTTTCTCACAATTGCGAGTTTATATCTCACAATTCTGACTTTTTTTCTCGTAATTGCGAGTTTATATCTCACAATTCTGACGTTTTCTCGCAATTCTGATTTTTTTTTCTCACAATTCTGACCTTTTTTCTCACAATTCTGACTTTTTTTCTCGTAATTGTGAGTTTATCTCACAATTCTGACTTTTTTTCTCGCAATTGCGAGTTTATATCTCAATTCTGACTTTTTTTCTCGCAATTCTGACTTTCTCACAATTCTGATTTTTTTCTCGAAATTGTGAGTTTATATCTCACAATTCTGACTTTTTTTCTCACAATTCTGACTTTTTTTCTCACAATTCTAACTTTTTTTCCTCGTAATTGCGAGTTTTTTTCTCGCAATTCAGACTTTTTTTCTCACAATTCTGACTTTATATCTCACAATTCTGACTTTTTTTCTCGTAATTGTGAGTTTATATCTAGCAATTCTGACGTTTTCTTGCAATTCAGATTATTTTCTCACAATTCTGACCTTTTTTCTCACAATTCTGACTTTTTTTCTCACAATTCTGACTTTTTTTCTCGTAATTGCGAGTTATTATCTCACAATTCTGACTTTTTATCTCAATTCTGGATTTTTTTCTCAGTTTCTCAGCAATTGCATGTTATAAAGTCAGAATTCTGAGAAAAAAATATCAGAATTCTGAGTTTATATCTCGGCGTTCTCAGAAACTGCGTCTTTATTTCTCGCAATTGCGAGTTTATATCACACAATTCTGAGAAAAAAAAGTCAGAATTGAGAGTTTGTATCACGCAATTACCTTTTTTATTTTTTATTCAGTGGCGGAAATGGGCTTCCATATGAAAGTCATTTAGTACATTTCAGGCTAAATAGCAAGAGTTGCAGACCTCAACACTGCATTTAGACACTGCCGGTTTCTGTTCTTTCTCCTCTTCTTCTTGCTGTGGGTTTTCACTTTGTTGCTTCATGTTTGTGATATGGTTGAATGCATTTTTTCTTGCCTGAGTGGATATGAGTAAGCGTAAATAATCTGACACAGAAAACACTTGAAGATTACAATTACAAAGAGATGTTCAAGTGTTACCTTGCAAAGTTTGTCTGCTGATGTGGAAATCTGTAGTCTTTCAAGGACATCCGTCAGTTCCTTCACAAAATCCTCACCATCATCCCCTGAGAATAAAAATTACGTTTTTTTATGTTCTTAATAATTTGTTGTTCATTTACAAAGTCCCAGATTTCAAAAATGTTAACATCACTATATTTCTTTGACTTTAGCTTTGTGTTCATTGTAAGCTTTTACCCTTCGCATCATCATCCACTTCGTCATCAAACTCCATAAGCGAAAAAGGCTCTTTAATGTCCTGTAGTTCTTGTTTTAGTTTAGCTAACTCCTCACCAGATAGAGTGGTCAGCACTGATTTCACCTGCACACAAACACAACACCTGCATTCAAATCCTTCACTGTTTTAAATTCTAGCATTGTTTGTAAAAAATTCTACTGACCTTGGCTTCACTCTCTCTAGAGAGGATCTCCAAAGCCTCCAGATGGGACAGGCCTTGAAATTCATCAAACAACAGCCCATAATGAGCCTTCTTGTCTGTTTCTGAAGTGACGTTTTCAGCTTTCTGCTGCTCCTCATGTTCTTTTGCTTCCCTCAAAGCCTTTGAGAGATGAAAAACAGAATCAGGTGAGTTTAATTCATAAGCAGAATCAAATTATGAATCGGTCAGGATGTGTTCAAGTAACGGTCATATATTTTTGTACGGGTGTCTGAAGGGGAGTTGAAGTGGCTATTAATATATTTAATCTCATTGGGATAGACAGTCCTCATAGCTTTTGCACCTGTGACAGTGTGGAGTTTCTGTTCATCAGTCCCTTTGTTTTCTTAAAGCCAGGGTCTCCCTCTGCTATCACATCCATGGTCTTCTTCCCAATAAACTCCAATGCATCCAGACCACCACTTATTACTGTCTTACCCTTGCCAACAAACATAGGAAGACAGAATTAATAAATTTACAATCAAATAAAATATATAAAATAATTAATTAAAACAATAAATGTTTAAAATATGAATTGTTTATTACTATTTATTAATATAACAATTAGTAATTAATTAAAATATTACAGGCTGGATGCTGCTTTTACTTTACTTTCCAGTCCATCTTTAATCTCTGTTTTTTACTTAGTTTTGTAAAGAAACTTTATAAGTAGGCACAGTTAAATAATAGTTTATCATTTTAATACATTTTTATTTGCACTTAAGCACAATTCAAAAAAGATGATTGATCTAATTATAATAATGTATTAGTATTAGTATTATTATTAATTTTAATTATATTAATTATATTTCTAGATTCCAGAAGTTTTAAGAGCTGTATGTTTTTCAGGGAACATTTATGACTTGTCCAGTCTTCCTTGATTTACTTGCTAATGATTAAGGATAAGAATTTTTCTAATCGATTTAACTAAATTTCTGGTTTAGAAATCACACTTTTAAAATTAGGCCTCCTCTGGTTTTCCAAGACCATGGGGAACCCTGGTTCTTCAATTAATCAATCAATCAATCAATCCATCAATAAATAAAACAGTTGTTGAGGAGGTCAAATGAAAAAAAAATTCCTGATTTTGAGATGTTTTAGCTATTATTTTAAAGGTGCCATAGAATGCAATGATATAATATTTTAAATTGTTCTCTGATATCTACATAGAAGGTATGTGGCTTAAGTAAGGGCAAAAAATCTCCAGAAACGGTTTTACATGTCCATTTACAACACTAGGATTTGTCCCTAGAATTAAATGGTTTGTTGTTATTTGGAAGGGTCATAAATAATAATGTTGAGCTCTGCTCTGATTGGCTGTTTCACAGTGCGGCTCAATGTTGAGCTCTGCTCTGATTGGCTGTTTCACAGTAAATAATAATGTTGAGCTCTGCTCTGATTGGCTGTTTCACAGTGCGGCTCATTTCAGTAGCTCACACAGCAGGAAGGAAACTACAAGTTGAAATATATATTTCAATACTGTCTCTCGCAGTTATATTGTTGGGTAATTATACTGTATATAAAATGTGGGCATCAGGGAGCCGCTATTAATATGCGGGAAACTGCTTTCGAATGCACGATTGCTTTTTACTTTCACTTTTGAGATTTGCGATTGCACGTGCTCTGTGTAAACTACAGCGGCAGTACTTACCACACATTTTACAAGATCAGATGCTTGTCAGTGGTGCTCAGGATCTGTAAATCATTCGCCATCATCCTCAGTCATCTCTCCTTACTCTGTTTATTTGTTAAGTTAAATCTTATGTAACAGCCTACTGCTAGCAAGCAGCTAACCATATCCCTTTAGGGGCTCGCGTTATTTTATTAGAATGCACATTATTTGTTTTCCGTGCCTTTCCTGAATACAGACACCAACCCATCCCTGCACAGCCTGGAACATAAGATTTATTTCCATGATCTGCCATTTTCACTATTATCCTCGCTTGTTTCTTCACAATACCTGCAGAACTTTTGGCTGTGCAGGTTCGGCTGGCGGCTGGCATAGAACATGGGCGGGTATATGCAAATGTTGGGGGCGTAACTATTAGTGATCCCGACTGTAACGTCACAGTCGGTGTTATGTTCTGATTTGTCTATTTTTCAGTGGTCTTTTGCATGGACGAGATTTACATAAGAAGGAGGAAACAATGGTGTTTGAGGCTCACGGTATGTCATTTCCATGTACAGAACTGTTATTATTCAACTATGCCAAGGTAAATACAGTTTTCCATTCTATAGCACCTTTAAAGCTTGTTTTGTCCTATTTTTAAATAAATATGTATTCGCTTCATTACCATCCAGCATACTTTTAGCTCGCCCTTACCGTACTCTGAACTACAGTGGTTAAAGATGACAACATTCCCATACTACTGGAGGAGATCATTCCCATAGCACCACCCATCCCATACGTCTTCTCCTCTTCATCTTTATTTTCCTTACTACTGGCTGAATCTGCAGAGCAAAAAGCAGGAAGATCATCAATACTTGTGAACTGGTGCGCTTGGTCTGATGTATCCCATGTCAATCAAAGAGCACATCATTACCATCAGTTTTTTCTTTTTCCGCTTGAGCTGAAAGCTCCTCAGGACTTGGGATTCCTAGAGACGTCTCAGCTTTCTCAATGACCTGTGTCAACCCTTGGCCTTAGACAATGAATGAACAGTATGAGTCTTGATGATATAAGAATTGAGCTGTTTAAAAAAAAAAGTGAAAATCTTGAGCCTCTTACCCACAGTAGCTACAGTGGCAGTAGCAGTGGAGAGGATAGATTTACCCCAGCTACCCCAGTAACCCCAACCTCCCTGGGAAACAGTCGTGTCTGGGGAGGGCTAATGGGAAAAAAGTGACAGTTATATTATTATTAACCCCATGATGGTATTTTTAGACTGAAACATTTTCATGGTCTGAATTTTTCTTTCTTTATTTTTTCTCCGGACTTGATCCGAAAAGGCTAAGAGGTTGACCAATCATATCAGACTGGGCCAGCTGACCAATCAGAGAAAACAGAGCAGAAATGTGGGCTTTAAAGAGACAGGAACTAAAACAAAGCATTTAGGTGAAAAGAGGTGCTGCAACAATGTAAAGAGTGAGGAAAATAATGTTTTTAAAACCTTAAATCATGTAAATGTATTCTAACAGAACCCAAAAATAAAATTAGAAAATGACAATAACTTAAATAAATGACAATAATATGGGCACTTTAAAAAAAGTTACACACGTGATCTTTGCAGTCAAAAATGACCACTAAGAATGGGAAAATATGAAAAATATGAAAATACAGAGCAATTTTCTGGGGTAAAATCTTCAAATTAGCCACACTTAAGTAGTCTTTGATTTAAATATATTATTTGAAATATTTAAGTGCAAAGTGTGTGTGTGTGTGTGTGTGTGTGTGTATGTGTGTATGTATATACTGTATATATATATATATATATATATATGTATACACATTTAGTCATTTAGCAGACGCTTTTATGGAAGTTTTATTTTTGTAAGTTACCAATTAATATGTTTTTTTTCTGTTTCACATTTTTCATGGCAGTTACAATCCTACATGACTTTAAAACGTTTTATTAAAATATGTAACTTCGAACTGAAGTAACTGAATATCTAACACTTTCCTGGGTTATGTAATAGCTGTTCAGTCATTTATATTTTGAAGTATTTGAAATATAATCCCATGGCGCATGACATTAGTTATGCTTACATTTAGTTCATATAGCGCATATATACATATAGTTTATATAGTATATATAAGTACTGTATAAGTACTGTATAGTACTTCTACATCTTGTTTTTATTATAGCACAGTTAAATAAATATTTTCTCAGTATTGCAAAACATCAAAAAAAGAAAGTCACGCAAGGCTTCCAGATTACAGTTAACTTCCAAAGCCATCACAAAAACTACACGCCCCAGAAATCCACCTCGAATCTGATTGGCTGGCGTCGCACTATTGTGTGTTTTTGGCTTCTGTGATTGGTTCACTGCTGTGGTCGTCGATGAGTCTCGATGTTCTCACGCACAACATCAGAAACGAAATGGCCGAAGAGGAGGTCGAGCAAAGTTCTGGTATTCTTCAGGAAATTTTCACTTCGCCTCTGAACATTAGCTTGCTATGTCTCTGTTTATTCCTGTTATACAAAATCGTCCGCGGAGACAAGCCTGCAGACTTCGGCCCGGTTGAAGAGCCGCTGCCTAAACTAAAGAAAAGAGATTTCACTTTAGCAGAGCTGCAGGAGTACGATGGACTGAAAAACCCAAGAATCCTGATGGCTGTCACCGGGAAAGTGTTTGATGTTACAAGAGGGAAGAAGTTCTACGGACCAGGTAACATGAGAATATCTCAGATTCAATCTCAGGTCTTATTTCCAATATATCTCAGGGGATTTTTTTTTATGCGTTTTTTTTTTTCAAGGATCACGTAATTTCTTCAATTACGTTGGCATATATGCAAGTTATTCCTTTTAAAATATTCCAAGGAAATGCATTAATTTAATTTCAGACACGCCCCTTTATGTCGCACCTTTTAAACAACGTACAAATGCCAAGTCATAACCCCTAACCTACTGAAAATTCAGGAAAATGGAGATGTTACGCAACCCTGTTAAAGTGCGTCTATATTTACATTATTTTTCGTCTGCTACCGAGACGTCACTGCAGCATTTTTGCGTTTTTTGTAACTTTTGTGCACACTTTTGCAATGCATAAACTGCTGGTCATCAGTGAATGATTAACTAACCTCGGATAAAGGTTGACTAGATACTGAAGATGTCCACTGAGCACAGAATGGTGCTTCATTCAAGAAAATGGACACCACTTGTTTTGCATTCTTGTTGACATCATATATTTTTGAAGACCTAATACCCACTTGGTTCACTTTTAGAGGGCCCTTATGGGGTCTTTGCAGGCAGAGATGCATCCAGAGGACTGGCCACGTTCTGTCTGGAGAAGGAGGCCTTGAAAGACACTCATGATGATCTTTCAGATCTCAATGCTATGCAGCAGGAGAGCCTGAGCGAGTGGGAGACCCAGTTCACACGTGAGTTGAAGGACACTTTTTGTTCCAGCCTCTGATTTTACAGTTGCACTCTTCAGGAATGTTGCAACGGGGTTGCATTGCTAAATGTTGAGTAATGGGTTGTATTTGCCTCCACAGAGAAATATGATTATGTTGGGAGGCTTCTTAAGCCTGGAGAAGAACCGACTGTGTATACAGATGATGAGGAAGTCAAGGACAAAAAGAAGGATTAGAACATGGCGATCACAACAAACCTAGCTCTTCCATTCGTGTTAGTCTTGTTGCAGTCACATTTGCTGAACCTTCACGTCATTTCGTATACATCACTGTGACCTTAATTAGCACGTCATGTGTTCAGAAACAGAATCTCATATCACTGTATTCGTAAACCTAATGTAGTATATGTTATATCTACAGCAACTGAGACTCATAATCATGTCATTTGAAGAATTCTTGGGTAAAAAATATCCTTCAGGAATATATGGCTTGCTATAAATATGGGACACAATTCTCACTTTTTATTTTGATTGCTGACTCCAGATTTTTATCTAATCAGAGAACATTTAAACCAAATGCATATATAAACATCAAAATACACTAGAATGCTTTTAAATGAGTGTCATAGAAAAAGTTGGAGTGGAGATCTCTTTCAGGGGTGCTTGTCGGACCAGTTTCCCTGATACAGATTAAGACGAGGCCCGTACTAAAGAGGGCTTCAAGCAAACTTATCGCATACTAGTCTTAACATCTGCTCAGGAAATTGGTAGATTAGATGCACATTACATTCCATTATGTTGAGATTGTTTTCAACTTTGTTACCAAGAAAAGTATTTGCAAAACACCTTTTCTGTTCATAATGTTTATTATTAAAGAATATGATTTATTACCATTGTGCCTTACTGATTTTGTTTTAAAACTCTATGTTGGTTTAAAGTATATGTTGCTGATTACTGGTGATGTATCCATGAACCCATGGAAAGCATTTGCTCCAGCTGAATTGTTCCTGTAGCAAGTTAACTCTATAAAGCCTACTGTATGATATTTGGTACATGGATTTCAAAAGGCCTCTAGATTATCAACATGGTCAGAACTTTGCTGAAAAGCATGTTTTACATAACCTACACTGTAAAGAAAAAAAAATTCCGGAAAAAAAAACCCGGCAGCTGTGGTTGCCAGAATTTTTCTGCAAAAAATACGGTAGCAACGTTTTACGGTTTTAACTTAAATTTACAGTTAAATACCGTAATTTCATTAACTGATATAATGTTAATATACCAACCTTATTGAAGTACTGAAATCTGTTTTGTACCTTTGTAATACACTGATAACCACCAAATGCAGGTGTTGATGAGAAAGTCACATGATGAACCAAAGCCCATCACAAGCAGCTTTTAAATAATAACATATAGAAGGTGCACAATGTCATTCACACAAACACTAAACACCATCATGGTAACACACATGACACTGAAATAATGCAATAAACATTCATTTAACAACATTAGGTGTAACACACAACCCTAATATACACAACTGATAGGAAAAAACTAAGAAGAAACAGTTATTTTAACAAAAAAACATCCAATTTGAAATGTAACGCATGGAATTCTGGGAATGTCAATTTACGGTTATTCACTGTAAATTATACAGTCTTTTTCACTTCCAAAAATGGTATACTAGCATAAAGTTAATGTCGAATACATGTAATGTCCAATACAGTTTTTCACCGTTTACAGTAGGGGAATTTACCGTTAACCATTTAACAGGTTTTTACTGTAGCATTTTTACAGTCTTTTACCGTTAAATTCACGGTCATTTTTTACAGTGTACAACAAGCCTTCTGTCATCTGATTGAGACTTTTTAGCAAGTAAAAGGCCTGTTTGTATAATTCTAGAAACGTCCACCCTCAGGTCGTGTGGTACATGTGTGTTTTTGCTGTGAAATCTAATGATTTTTATAATGACATTGTAAGAATAACTTCTATATTATTATTAACATTTCAAGATGGACATTTACTGGACAGAAGCCACTTGAGTGTCCATACATTTTTTTTTTCCATGTTAAAATGTATCAAATATAATGCAACAGGCTACTGAGGAATGTTTCTGTGTGCATCTATCAATCATCATTGCACTGCATAACGCTATATTTTGCTAGACACAATTAAACCTGCAGAGCTTTGATTATTTAATCGAAGAGATAGTTCACCCAAAAATGAAAATGCTGTCATCATTCACTCACCCTGTTGCAAACCTGCTTGAGTTTCTTTTATACTATGGTGGTTACCAACATTTCCTTTGTGTTCAGCAGAAGAGAGAAACTTGTACAGATTTGGGTGTGTTTACATTTTCATTTTTGGGTGAACTGTCGCTTAATTTGAAGTGGTATTTAAATATAATTTACTAAGATATATTATTGGAAGATTTCTACTTGAGTGTGAGCTGCATATTCTCACTATAGCACATTATATAAAAGCCTGGTGTAGCAAATATGATACAACAGTGTAACAAAACATTAAACACAAATGCAAACTTGTTGAAAGATTTGATTTCTTATTTTGTACAAAGTGTTAATAAACGGTTCCATAGGGGATCCAATCTTTTTTTGAGCGGTTTATTTACAGTTTCCTGACTATTTGATTCATATTTACAATGTTAGAGCAGGGAAGACTTCTTCTTCCCTCTAATTTTGTGAATATGTAAAGTTGCATGAAAAGGATGAGCTTGTTTCTTGCATTTAAGACATCTGATAACCTTAATATATTTTCTAGTTCAAGAAAAAGGTATGTGTCAGAAGTGGGATTCGAACCCACGCCTCCAGGTGGAGACCAGAATACCCGATTCGTTCGGAAGGGAACAGCCCTTGAGTCTGGCGCCTTAGACCACTCGGCCATCCTGACACGTCTGAAATCATAAAGCGAAAAACTCCAATTTCATTTACGCAATCTAAATACAATGAAAAGTTAATACCGAACAACCGGAGAACTGTTGAACTCTCACTTTAACACTGTTAACACACGTAAAACAGCAGTGATGGTTCCTTAATATATACAGAAAAAAGTAAATATTTTTACGCGTTTATCTTTATTAGTATACGTTACTCCCGTATAGGTTAACCATAGACCACATAATCTTAAACTATTCGTTTGTTTTCGTGTATCATTTTAATTTTGCGTTATGTTGAATCTACCGCTGATAATCTTTAGGCTCCCCTCGCGTGCACTCATTTCCGCGCTGCCATTTTGTTTCTGCCATTCAGTTCAAGGGTATTAGCGCGAGCAGTCGGCTGTACAGAGACATAACCATGTATCGTTTCGCCAAGGCTGTCCTGAACCTCAGCGGTAAGTTAAATATCTTATTCAAGGACTGACCGTTTTATTTCACATTTCAGTGAACCGTATCTGGCTGTTATTTTCCTGTATGCTAAATCTAGTTTAATGTAATACACCCGTAGTTCGCTGGTGTGTACGTTTTAGCAAGTCATTTAACATGTTGTCACCTTTTCCCTATAAAGACATGTTTCTATTTTATTTATTTGCCATATGTGCGCTTAAAACCTGTCTTGACATCACATATAGCTCATATGAATAATCTTAAAATGTAACGTTAAATATTACTCCCGCGGAGTGCAAGAATTTGTCTTATGTTTCTAATATAGCCATAAATATGTCATGTATACGATTAAAAAGAGGTCAATGGTTGGCATTAGGAATGTCTTTGATAAATTCAGTGAGTCCAAGTTCTTGACAATTCTTCGTTGAGGCAATGAATAATGTGTTAAAGCATATGTAAACTTGAATACATTTTTTTTTCTTTACAATAGGTCAGAGTGCCCGTCAGGTGGCTGTGCGACAGAAGTCTGATCTGTCCCGTGAATTTCATGCAAAGTATGGACTTCCTCTGCTGATTGCTGGGGTCACATTTTGCACAGCTGTTTGGGCATATGTAAGTGACTGCAAACACAAGCATTATAGTAATTATTTATCTCATTTCAGTGTTACATGTGATTTCGTGCACTGTCTTTGCAGGTGAGCACATCAACAGGCATTACATGGAACCTGTCACCTGTAGGCAAGGTGCAGCCCAAGCCATGGCAGGAGGAATGAATTCATTTCCTCATTGTGCACTGAATGCTGGAGGATTCTGAATGACATTTTGAACTTTTCCATTTTGCAAATGGAGATTTCTCACCTTATCCAATCTTGTTGCTATCTTGGCATGTCTGTAAAAATGTTATAAATTAAATATAAATCTTAACATTAGTCATCTTGTTTACTTCATGCTAAAATGCATTATTAAAGGGTTTAGGTCAGATTTGATCCCACATCAGTTGCACTTTTGACATGTTACATTAGCTTGACATTCTATAATCAAATGAATTGTCTATTTTGATGGTCATGTCCATTTTGAAGGTCAGTTTTGTATTTACGATAAAACCCTAAACTGTTCACAACTCCCAATTCCTGTACCATGAAGCTAGCCTAACAAACTGGGTTACAGGATTGGTTTCACACTGACAAAACCAATGTAATCAGGCTTTGTTGGTACCATGCCCCCGATCATAAGCTTTCACTGGGTGTTTCTTATTTTTTTATTTGTGCACCTTTGTTTCCTTTCCTTGTGTCTTAACTCCACCCCTTAGGATGCGAGGGAAGGATGCATAGAAAATGAGGATGGAGGAATTAAAGGGTAACTTGTTTGTATATTGGACTATTCTAGATTTATATTTTTATTTAAACTGCAAAGTTAAAATATAAATTTAAAAATAAGTGTGACCGATGTGAAGGAGGTTTGGGGAATTTATACATGCATCGGGTCTTTTGACAGGAGATGTTTCCTTTTAATCCTCGTTCAGAGCACCTCTAGAACAGGGGTGTCCAGTCCTGCCCCTGGAAGGGCCACTGTCCTGCAGATTTTAGCTCTAACACACTTTCCTGGAAGTTTCTAGTGAGTTTGAAGACCTTGATTAGCTTGTCCAGGTGTGTTTAATTAGGGTTTAACGCTAAATTCTGCTCAATAGTGGCTCTCCAAAAACTGGTTTGGACACTCCTGCTCTAGAATCATTCTCACTTTAGTATTTTGTATTCATAGTTATTATTAGTTCATTTATTTATTCATGTACTTTCATATTTCATTATATTTAAATACGTACAGAACATTGATGCTGAACATTGATGTTTAAGGGCTTTCGAGGCTTTTTTTTTTTTTTTTACAAAAATATATAGAAAACAAAATCACTGAAAAATACTTTTGGACACTGGTAGGGGACTTTATTTTGAAATCTTTTGCGCCGGACCAGTTGATGCATTATCCACACTTGATCTTTTGTGGTCCTGTTGCAGACTTCAGGAGATGGTGGGTGGCCGTGGAACCCTTTTTTCGGCCTACTCAATGTGCGAAACCGCCAACTTCCAAAGCAACATAGACCATCTGCCCATGGATGTTGATTTAATGCTTAGGCAGTTTGTGCATGAAGGAAGTTGCCACTTGAATTTCTTGCAACTGTACGCGGTGACTCCCCATTGTCACGAGGTATCGCCACAGAAACATACCATCAGCCGAGTGATCACAATGTGTGATCTACACATCGAGAAGCACAGGAGGATGATTGCACCTAACACCGAGAGGTACATGGAGCATGTTGATGACCTGGCCCGGAGGGCATACACGAGGACCTATGCGAGGTTAGAGGGCTTTTTTTTTTTTTTGGTGCATCATGGGTACCAGGAGGTGTTGTAGCTGAGCCATTTTTTCATCCAGCCCATGATGGACAATCTCCTAGAATCAATTCTGATGCTTATTCCTTTTTGGGACAATGAAAACAGATTGGGTCTGTGCCACGTGGTTCAGGCAGTAGCCATCTACCTTAGCACCACACTCTACAATCTGCTGCAGTACAAGAAAGGCCTGGGTGGATTTCACAATAGCTGGACTGCATTCCAGCTGGAGCTAGCAGTGGAGGAACTTTTTTTTGGGTGGGCCATGTGTAGTTCTTCCAGGCAGTATGCATCATCGTTTGGTGTAAGTGCTACCCATCCAAACAGCCTTAGGAGGATGAGGGGCTTTCTCGGGTTGGCGGCGAGTCTCCTTCTCCCCTGGAAACCTGGCATCTGCAGCGCATCTTTCCTTTGACCGACAGCCTTTTTGCAGGGGTACAAGTGGTCGGTGAAGAATTAACCAATATTCTTCTCTATGACCTTTACCAGAGAAATGACCGCTTGCCGGTGCAGTCTTTGAAAGGGCCTGATCGTCCCATCGGACGTTTAGTGGACTGCTGGATGGTGGGGGAGTTCTGTTGGGAAGTGTTCCAGAGAAAAGCCTTTGGATATCCACATATGTTTGGGAGAGCCTTGGAGATGGTCACCTCCATGAGTTACCATTTTCCACTGTCTCGAACTTGGGACGATTAATTTCCCACACATCAAGCACTGGGTTAAGATGCACAACTGCGAAGCAAAATGGAACTTCAAGGATTTTGTGGAGCTACACTAGCACAGTAAGGTTCCATCTGCAGCAGCTCGTGCAGCCGTGTACAGAGGAGATGTGTGTGCCAGAATTTAGGAGTTGGATCTGTCGTTCTCAAGAAACCTGAAGAAGTACAGAGAACATGGCATGCCCTGGTTGGAGATCTGCATAGAGCGTCTCCCCAGAGGCATGCCAAAAGACAGAATGATCACTGCTCTGGTGTTCCTCAGGTGCGTGGGGATGATCAAAACGGCAATTATGTGTCTTTCCAGAAACTGACAGAGCTGGAGCATCAGCTGCCAGTCACTCAGAAGTATCTCCAGCAGTTGAGGGTACTGTCTCAGCTGCTCCTGATCCAGTCTCTTCAAGTTTGGAGGTTCCATGAGTCGGTGCCTTACAAAGTGGTCCTGCCCTGCTATAAGTATACCGTCGTCCACGTGTTCCTGTTCAGGAACCAAGAACCGAAGTGGAGGAAGAAGAGATGGAGGAGCTAGTTGAAAAAATCCAACCAACTTGTGTACCTGCAAGTTCCAACAGTAGGTGGACAAATTTGGAGGTCTCCTACATCGACCAGAACCCTCTGTTAAGCCATGATTGGGCCTACGAGGTGTACTTGCAGAGAGACCTCTACCTCTGTGCGCACATTCCGTGTCTTTCGATCTAAACGCCAGCACCTGATGGCGGACGATAAAGTTCCAGTCATCTTTTTATTTTCTTGGAATGATATACTGTAGTATTTGCCATGTGTCTTATATCTTCACTCCCATAGATCTTGGGGATGGGGTAATAAAACCTCATAAAGTACAAGCGTTCCCCTGACTGTCCCAGGAAAAGATTTAAAGGGGTCATATGATGCTGCTAAAAAGAACATTATTTTGTGTATTTGGTGTAATGAAATGTGTTTATGCGGTTTAAGGTTCAAAAAACACATTATTTTCCACATATTGTACATTATTGTTTCTCCTCTATGCCCCGCCTTTCTGAAACGCGTATATTTTTTACAAAGCTCATTGGTCTGAAAAGCGAGGTGTGATTGGCCAGCTATCCAGTGCGTTTTGATTGGCCGAATACTTCCACCGTGTGATGGAAATGTTACGCCCTACCATACTGTGATGCCGTGTCCCGGCCGGAGCGACGAGACAAAAACATGAAAACCCATAATAAACGAGGCATTTGTTGCATCCAGTGGGGACAAAATTACTGATTATAATGACTTGTACTGTCTTTTTACACGTTGCGTTGCAGCGCGCAGCGTAAACATAAAACCATGTCTGCATCTGTGATCGGCGAAATGACAAACAACAAGTGCTACTCTACACTGCTCAAAACTCGCGTTTGAATCATCAGTGGCAAATCCTTTAAATAGGAAAATGTACTTAGTCTGTGAGTCAGAACAGCCGGCATTGTAGTCTACTCTAGTCGTGTCCTCTTTTGGAAGGCCAAACAAAGTAGTTTTGCTTTCACAACGAAACACACAGCGTCACACATGGCGGGCTAGAGTGAGCTGCGGCCGGCGGGCTTGAGAACAGCATGGCTGGCGGATTTGACAAAGGAGCGGCCGTTGGGCTTGCGGCAACCACATGTCACACCGCTTCGTCCACGGTGAAAGCCGATCCGGCGATCCACAGCGCGAAGCTGATGTATTTCCTCAGTGACCAGCACGGATCAGCTCTAGTCATGACGAAGCAGATATCGTCCTCTTTTGGAAGGCCAAACAAAGTAGTTTTGCTTTCACAACATGGCGGCGGCAACAACAATACTACAGTAAGAATAAAAGTTATGCTTTCTTTCTTTGCGTGAACATTTGGGCGGCGTTATGCAAATCTTCCCACATAGTGACGTAGACATGTGGGGGCGTGTTAGAACGAGCCGTTTTAGGTAGGCGTGGCTGGCTCTTAACTTTTATAAAGAATATCTCTTTGGATTTGAGACTTTAGTCTTTGCAACTTTACAGATCTTCTTTATGCACCAAGAGCTTGTAACACTCCAAAGAGAAAGGAAAATATGACCCCTTTAAACCTTCGAGAGTGTCGAAAATAGCGCCATCTGGCGGTTAGTACAAAAATAAAGTAGCCAAAAGTCTGTGGAAGAAGTTCCGCCGGATGAAGCAGCCACCACATGCTCCATAGATATTTCAATGTTATGTGCACAAATAAAAGCCTAACACGTGTATGTTAAATTTTTCACATTGAATTTACCAATTAAAGTGTGGCAAAATGCCAGTATGAACTAAAATAATTCAATATGATGTAATAGAAGAATAATGTATGACTAACAGAGACTATTTAATAATGTAACTGAATAAGTCTGAATGAAAATCGTTAATTTTGACATGGGCAAAAATGATCCTTTCATATAAAACATTGGACTAAAATGTAGATGAGAGCATTTTTTGATGGGATCTTCTGGTTATTAAATGTTCGTTCCAAACACCAACATCAGCTCCTAACCCTATCCCAAACACACCAAATTACTAAAACAAAACTTGTGCAAAAAGTGCAAAAATTATACCGAAATAAGTTAATTTATTTTAATTCAGGAGCGTAGGGTCTCTAGATAGGGGGCAGTAACATTGCAACACAATCCGTCAAAGTTGTCTTTGCGCTCAGTTAGGCATTGATTGACAGCAAGTATATCCAATGAGCGCTTCGTTTAGAACCTCATCTTCGATTAGACCCGCCCACACTGTGTACATCAGCATCAAGCTAAGGTCACTCTCATTCTGGAATTTACCCAGCTCTGCACCACGCCACACCACCTAAGCAGAGAGTTGTTGCAAATCCACAGCCAGAATGTCTCTGTCAAACAAACTCACGCTGGACAAGGTGGATGTGAAAGGAAAGCGCGTTATCATGAGGTGAGTCTGAATTGTCACCGTTATAATACTCCCTAACGATATATCCACATGCTCGTACTCTTAATTTATGCCGTCTGGCTTAATGTAGGCACATCAAAATTCAGCTTTAATTTTTGGCATCGCTCCAGCTTATGCTTATGAACGCCGCGCGAGTTCAATCATTGATAACCGGAAGTGTAAGTGTCATGCGTCACGTTTGAGGGATTCCAGATACGTGCTGGATGGCAGATGCACCGAAAGCACGTGCAGGTCCTCTAATATCTGTCTTAACTCCGTTGTATTAAAATCAAAGCAGACTTTTAAACCTATCACACAATTACATTCTGCAGACGCTGTAAAATGTCTCGGTGAAGCGACACCACCCAGCTATACGTCCAATGGTCAGGGAGCCTCTAGTCACTTTATTTTTGTATTATACCGACAACAACCAGTACGTTTTTACATCACATACTGTTTTATAAAGTCTTTTGTACGTGTGCTGGCGAGTTTATACCAGTATGCACGTTCATTTACTGGCGTGTTCCTGCTTGTTATACTCATGTCACTCACGCATGCCAGGTATTTCTTTTAATGCACATAAATGAAGATTGTTTATAATATATTCAGCTAAACGACATCCACATCTTCTCGGCAGCTATTAGCATAAATTATAGAACACCGTCAAAAGGCCTGCCAGCTAATAGCCTTTGGCTAAAAGTCCACACTGTTGGACCATCCTGCCTCGCCCACAGTCTGCTGCTTTATTTAACATTTTTTCACCCTTATATAAATACCCAAATGATGTATCATTTTGAATAAGTAATTATTCGCTTTCACGATGAGTTAATATGTGTTCCTACAGTTGCAATGGCCCGTGCTCTTACGACGACCACTGTCAGGTTCCGAACTGCTATAATATTGTCTAATTTTATATTAATAATATTACAGTAGCCGGTGCAACCAGCACCCTGAATACATCTGAATGCTTTAGGGGGCTTTACAGTATTACGTAATTCATTGTAGTCATGGAGACCGTGTGAACGTGCAGCAGTGTGCTAACAGTGATACTGATCAGATAGCTTCTATGTTTAGTTGTTTATTATTGTCATCTTACTGTCTTTTTATTTAGTAAAATAGCTTATTAATGTGTATATTTTTATTAATTAATTTAGTGGTCTTTTTCATAGACATTAAAATGAAAGGGGTCATATGATGCGATTTTCAAGTTTTCCTTTCTCTTTGGAGTGTTACAAGCTGATTGTGCATAGATAAGGTCCCTGAAGTTGCAAAGAATAATACAGTTTATATAATAATGTCTAAACAGTACTATGTAAAAGTGTATTTTGTTTGAAATACTGTTTGAGGCAAAAATACCAATTTATGATTACAAAATGTATTTTCTTTTTTTTATATATATATTTTTATATAGCACTGGCTCACTGTTGAAAAAGACATGTTGGCCGTGTGATACAGAATTTGTAACTAATATTATATATGCTCTCATCAGAATCAAGGCCGCAGTCCCATCAGTTCAGTATTGTTTAGATAATGGGGCCAAAGCTGTAGTCCTGATGAGCCACTTGGGCCGGCCTGATGGAGTCCCCATGCCAGACAAGTACTCTCTGAAGCCTGTGGCTGCAGAACTCAAGAACCTGCTGGGAAAGTAAGAAAGATCAATACTGACTTTTAATATACACGTATTAAACCATCAGTTAGAAATAATATAAACCTTCAAGCTACATCTGTTTGACAGCAGTGATGTTATATAGCTTTACTGCATAAACATTAGAAATGTATGGTAGAAAATCATTCCCAAGCTGACATCTTAATAGTAATGCATACATAATTCAACTTATTGCTTCGCCACCAACCTTGCTGTTTAATTTGCTTATGAAGAGATGTTCAGTTCCTGAAGGACTGTGTGGGTTCAGATGTGGAGAAAGCCTGTGCTGACCCACCTGCAGGTTCTGTCATTCTGCTGGAGAACCTGAGGTTCCATGTGGCCGAGGAGGGCAAAGGCAAAGACGCATCGGGGAACAAGGTCAGTGCGCCATGCAACAGTGGCTCTGCAGAAAGTGCTTAGTCGTCTTACAGAAGTCTTAAAATCAAATGGAAGACTTTTAAGACCTGCACAAATAAAATCAATGTGGTCCGTCCATACAGAACAGATTCCACATAATCTCTAAATAAACCATGTATCTTTTATTTATCATATATCTATCATAGTAGCCCAAAGAGAAGCCACAAGAGTTTACATTGAATTAAATGTCATATAACATGTTGAAAACCACAACTGTCCAGAAAAAAATAATTTATGCATAATGCAACTTTTAAGTATAAATGTACAAATCTTATTTTGAAATGTCTATGCTAAACTACTTCCATAATTAATAAGGGTGAGGGAGATAAATGACTCTACAACACAGTAAAATGATAAACACCATAAAGTAAACATTGCAAAGTAAACTCAAAACTGTTAACCTGTAGAATGCATTACAGTGCTGTGTTTTAACTTCTTAAAATTTTATTGGACTGTTTTTAACCTAAATAGACAACAGTTATTCAGAAATGTTTAACTGATGTATTTGAAAAAAAGTATCACCTGAATGCATTTTAGATTTTGTCTACTATTAACCTTAAATGTCATATATAGCTTCTTGTTAATTGTATGACTTATGTTATTTATTCTGTTTTCATCATGAAGATAGCCTTGCTTTTGACATGGCTTTAAAAAATAAATAAATATGAAGCTGATTAAACTGAATTTAAGACCTTATAAGGTCCTGTGATAGCAGTAGGATCTGTGGTTTTAAATGCCATGTGCTCCCCAAAAAAAAACATTGTTATAGGGACTCTTGCAACTACAAATATTTAATATCAACTAATCCGTAAAGGAAGCCCTCTGAAATTAGGCTAGTTTCACAAATCTATTACTAAATCATTCTGTTTTGGCTCAAGAAGCTAATAATTTGCTTTTATCATTGAGTGAAAGCTTGTCTACAAAGCACAAGCTACTGTTAAAGGCAATTGGTGGCTTTGCGTGCATGCAGAGATACTGTACGCAGCTGACCTATTGACATTTGTAGGAAGGTCATATGTGATCATGTGGCTTTTCTGGTCCTCGGAGCCCTGACTGGAATGCATACTGGGAAGGGGAGAAGAGAAAGAGAGAGATGAGTAGGGACCATAGAAAGAGACCGGGAAACTGCTATGTTCTTTTCTCCCAGGCGACTGCAGTGAACTTGTGCTTGCCATTTTCTAGGCACCTGTGTAACATTTCATTCGCCAACAAAAATAATTCCAAAAAAAGCCACAGCGTTGTTTTGCGTCTCTGAGCAACATGACGGTGTTTCGTTCCTGAATGAATCAACTGTTTAAATGATTCGGGTCAGTCGCAATGACTCACTTATTAACAGTGACTTACTGCCACCTACTGGCGGTTTTAATTTCACATTCAAAGTATCTTTTCATTTTTAAAATTATTTCAAATATCAGTATTCAATGTTTAATATATCAAAACATTATTTATGCATTTGTAACTGCAGGTTAAATGCATTCATGTCCTGCATTAATCGGTGAGTAAACATCTAAATGCCACTTCAGGTGCAGCTTATGTCTGGATCGCAAAGATGAATTTTGTTAATACTGATTTCATTTGCTTGGTAACAGCCCAAATGTCTTATTATTCTAATTCACTGATTAAATGTAAGAATTTGACTCAAGAGATAATGCACACTTATAGAAAAATGGCTTTATAAAGGTAAAATGTAAAAATCTATCTTTTTTGGAATCGGGTTTGTATATTGTCACACGGCTCTCTATTTAAAGTTCTTGAATTCAGGTGATATGGGCCGTTTCAGCTTGATTGTACTATGCTCATTAGGTTTACACTTCCAGAGCATAAATATGGTCTTTAAAGGAACACTTTTAAAAAAAAAAATGGCAAAAAAGGTTTGGCTGATGCTGTAAGATCCTGTTGATTATACCTACACCTCAAAGGAGGACTCCCTTATTATGAAAGGTAATAAGGTAATGCCCTTTGACATTCAGATTTTCATTTCAAAATATTACTGTGACAACACTTTTATTATTTGTTACTGCAGTTAACATGGATTAAAATGCAAAAAAAAAATGTTTATAAATAAAATTGTATAAATATAATTTTTTTTCTTGTAAGGTGGTTAAATATTGCTGGCCCACTTTGGCAGAATATAAATGTAATCTTTCTCTTATTCATTTTTTTGTTAGCCAATGTGTTGTTGCATGTGTTATAGTCACATTTTTAATATGTTGAGTTCATTTTCATCAATATTCTGTTAGATTTCATCTAATTGTGACGTCAACACAACATGTTCTATCAGTTGTTCTGTGCAATTTTATGCATTAATTATGTGAACTTATACATTTTACTTGGCGTCTGGGCTGTATGTTTTTCTAGTTTAAGTAAGTTGTTGAATAGGTTCGAATTATTTTTAATGTTGAAAAAATTATGTTTTTCATTTCACAAAATAATATCTTGTAATTGTTTTTTTTTTTTGGATAAGTCTGAGGTGGTCCATTTTACCAGACCTGTATAATTTCAAAATGTTTATTGGAATATACCTTCTAAATAACACACAATATTAACTGAATTCTAATGAAAATATTAGCTGGACCTTAAATTTAACAAAGGTAATAAAAGAAACGAGAAAAAAACAACAACATATGGGTATCTAAATGACAAGTTATTGCCTAATAACAAAAAGTCTCACATTACCTCAATTCACCCTATTGGCTATGTATGTAAATATAGGCCCTATCCAACTTTATCCCAAATGTTTGATTATTTTTTTTACCGTTATGTGAGTCTTCGTTATGCTTTTGAGTGAGCCAAAACAGCTGTACCATACCGAACTTTCTTTGAACCTTTGAAATGAACCTAGAAATGTTACTTTACGGCTGGTCGTGTGATTAAGCTGTTGTTGCAGGTAGTAGATTCTAAACTACATTTCCCATAATGCACGGTACTGTCTTAGCTCCGCCCTCACCTGCCGAGGTGTGTAAACGTCATTCAACAACAGCTGTGAGCGAAAAGTGCAGGGTTGTTTCTGGGATTAAGATTAAGGTGAAATGGATTTCATAGGATTTCAAACTCGCTTCACTTCAACCAGTAACTTTGGTAAAGAACCTAAAGTCGAAATCTGTATGTTAGTGAATTGTTTATTGTTTGTATGTTATATCCATTACTTGTGTAATGTGTTTTTTCTAAGGAAGAAACGATGCAGAAGGAGAGATTGTAAATGCAAGCATGATTTCAATCGAGGACTGGAGCCCAGACCAAGTGTCTACATGGATAAAGCATATTGGATTTCCTCAATATGCGCAGAGTTTTGTGGGTGAGGGGATTCATTTTCATCGAACATCTAAAGAGTTACATCACAAAGACTTTAAAATGAAAAGGCAGTAGATTTTTTGTATTGTACTTAAAGGGATAGTTCACCCAAAAATGAAAATTATGTCATCATTTACTCCCCCTCATGTCGTCCCAAACCCGTATGAGTTGCTTTCTTATGTTGAACACAAAAGAAGATATTTTGAAGATTGCTGGTAATCAAACAGTTGGTGGTTGCCATTGACTTCCATAGTAGGAAGAAAAAAAATACTATGGAAGTCAATGGCAACCACCAACTGTTTGACTACCAGCAATCTTCAAAATATCTTCTTTTGTGTTAAACATAAGAAAGCAACTCATGAGCGACATGAGGGTGAGTAAATGATGACAGAATTTTCATATTTGGGTGAACTGTCCCTTTAAGTAATCTTTTGTTTTTCTTTGTTAAACTTGGCGCAATCACAAGAGGGCGCTCAATTACAGTTTTCCACTGTCATTACCAGACCTGTATAATTTCAAAATGTTTATTGGAATATACCTTCTAAATAACACACAATATTAACTGAATTCTAATGAAAATATTAGCTGGACCTTAAATTTAACAAAGGTAATAAAAGAAACGAGAAAAAAACAACAACATATGGGTATCTAAATGACAAGTTATTGCCTAATAACAAAAAGTCTCACATTACCTCAATTCACCCTATTGGCTATGTATGTAAATATAGGCCCTATCCAACTTTATCCCAAATGTTTGATTATTTTTTTTACCGTTATGTGAGTCTTCGTTATTCTTTTGAGTGAGCCAAAACAGCTGTACCATACCGAACTTTCTTTGAACCTTTGAAATGAACCTAGAAATGTTACTTTACGGCTGGTCGTGTGATTAAGCTGTTGTTGCAGGTAGTAGATTCTAAACTACATTTCCCATAATGCACGGTACTGTCTTAGCTCCGCCCTCACCTGCCGAGGTGTGTAAACGTCATTCAACAACAGCTGTGAGCGAAAAGTGCAGGGTTGTTTCTGGGATTAAGATTAAGGTGAAATGGATTTCATAGGATTTCAAACTCGCTTCACTTCAACCAGTAACTTTGGTAAAGAACCTAAAGTCGAAATCTGTATGTTAGTGAATTGTTTATTGTTTGTATGTTATATCCATTACTTGTGTAATGTGTTTTTTCTAAGGAAGAAACGATGCAGAAGGAGAGATTGTAAATGCAAGCATGATTTCAATCGAGGACTGGAGCCCAGACCAAGTGTCTACATGGATAAAGCATATTGGATTTCCTCAATATGCGCAGAGTTTTGTGGGTGAGGGGATTCATTTTCATCGAACATCTAAAGAGTTACATCACAAAGACTTTAAAATGAAAAGGCAGTAGATTTTTTGTATTGTACTTAAAGGGATAGTTCACCCAAAAATGAAAATTATGTCATCATTTACTCCCCCTCATGTCGTCCCAAACCCGTATGAGTTGCTTTCTTATGTTGAACACAAAAGAAGATATTTTGAAGATTGCTGGTAATCAAACAGTTGGTGGTTGCCATTGACTTCCATAGTAGGAAGAAAAAAAATACTATGGAAGTCAATGGCAACCACCAACTGTTTGACTACCAGCAATCTTCAAAATATCTTCTTTTGTGTTAAACATAAGAAAGCAACTCATGAGCGACATGAGGGTGAGTAAATGATGACAGAATTTTCATATTTGGGTGAACTGTCCCTTTAAGTAATCTTTTGTTTTTCTTTGTTAAACTTGGCGCAATCACAAGAGGGCGCTCAATTACAGTTTTCCACTGTCATGATGTTTTGAGAATCACTCTTCTTTATGTTTGCAAAAATGTTGTGATACCTCAAACACAATTATTATATACTAGCCCTATATACTCAGAAATATGATCCCCACCACCCACCACCCAACAT